GAGGAGCAGACAGCCTGACAAAGCCCAGAGGGGCGGGCAGGCTCCAGCACCCGTACTGACGGTGGCGGGGGGCAGGCAGAGATCCTGGTGTGAGCCCACAGGCTCCTGGACAAGGGTTTGGCCTCCACCGTGAGGCGGGACCTCAGGCCTTTCATGACCTGAGTGCCAGATCAGACCCACTAAGTGCCATGAGAGCTACTCAGCCAGTGAGGGAGTCAGGCCAGGAAGGAGCAGGTAAGAGACCCTTGTCTCAACTGTCTGTGGACCCCGGGAGGAGCCCCACCTCTGCTGAGGTCATTGGCATCAAAGACGCCTGTGACGGGGTAGCAGGTCGTGCCATCACCACCACACTGCAGACACTTGTCCTCCTGCTTCGACGAGTCCAGGTTGTGGTCACAGCCGACAACCTGCCAGGCAGAGATAAGGGGAGATGGGACAGACCAGAGTGAGTCACGGTCACACCAGGACTTGAACTCTGGCTGTGTAGCCAGGTCCAGGAGGTGCAGTAAACATTCACTAGCCATGGAGGCCGAGTAAACCTTGAATCTGGCCTGTGACTGACAATCCACCTCTTCTGACTACTCGGCACCGTGTCCCCTTCTCTGGCAATAGCACCTCATTTCCTTCCTTTGTGGGACCCACCTCTCTCCCACAGAGTTTGCATACAGTTCCCCAACAGTGGCTTCGGGCCAATCAGCGGGTTGCTCACAGTGGCTTCGGGCCTTGCTCAAAGCTCACAGGGGGAGCCCCAGGCCAGGACAAGCCAAAGGCAACCCCAGGTTGCTGGAACTCCTGGGAATAGGGCGCCCTGTTCCAGGGAGTTGCCAGGCTGGGACAACTGAAGCCTGGGCTGCTGGGCCATCTTCACACCTCATCAGAAGAACCTGTCTGCCCCTAAGCTGACCGAAGAGACAAGGAGAGAGATGTTTCCAGCATCATCATTCAAGCACCTGCAGCCAGCCAGCCATCCCCTCCCTCAATGGCATTTTTTTTTTCTTAAGTCAGAGAGAGTCAAAGTCATGAGAGCCCCTGGCCTGCTGGTGCGGGGCTGGGCGACGTCTGCAACAGGCCCCAAGCCATCTGGTGGGGGTGGGGGCATAACTTACCCGGCAGTTGCCATCCACGCAGATGTCCCGTTTGCCAGGCTCGCAGGGTGTCCCGTCTATGACGGCCTCCCTGTGCTTGTAGTAGAAGCTCTCCCCCTTGGGAATGCAGTTCAGTTCACATTTGTTTGGGGCTGCGGTGAGCAAGAGGGGAAAGCTGAGAGGCTGAGCGAAGTTCAAGGCCTGTCCTAGTAACAGCGAAGTGTGGGCAGGAGCCAGAAGCACGCGCGCCCATGACTGGGAGGGGCCTACAGCGCCGTACATACTCCCAGTGGCTCAGAATCCCACCCCCAACCCAGGGAGAAGGGATGCTCTCCCCGAAACTGCTGCATCTCTGGGAATCCCTGGGAATCAAGTCAAAGAAAAATCCCAAAATAAGGAAAAAACTAGACATTTGAAGAGGTCTATCTCAGCCTTATTATTTGTAATAGTCCAAGTTTTAACAATCAGCTACTCTATTATCTATCACTAGAATATTACGCATGTTGACTGTGCTATTAAAAACTATGATTATGAAGACTAGACAGTAATGTGGGAAGATGCTTATAACAGAGTGCAAAGTGATACTATGTAATAACTACAAACATGTAAACAGAGAGAGAATAATGTGAAAAAGGCTAGCATGAAATGCTAGCCGGGATCCTATGAAAGAGATAGGGTTAAGGTTATTTTCTTGTTTCAATTTTTATATTTATCTAAATATTATATACACATTGTTTAAACAGCCCAGAAGTGCTAACAGGATTGTAATCACCTCCACCCAAAGAAGGCATCCCTCAACAACCCTTTTTAAACTTTCCTCTGTGTTCTAATTTTTCTATAACATATATTTAAATTATTTTCAACATACCCTCACCTTAGGATCCAGGAGGAGCAATGAATGCAAACCACCCCACTGGGGCCGCCTCGCTCTGGCCAAGACCCCTTCCCCACCCCAGAGCACACACAGGATTATGTTTACTGATTTGGAATCCCGAGTGCCATTGAGTTTCCAGGAGTCATCCACAGTGAGCAGTGAAAACTACTACTCAGATGGATTATCCTAAGGTATGTTCTGACTCATCTAAAAGGTTTTAAGTACACACGTTAGTGTTTTTTGTTTGTTTTCTTGAACTGTATTGCTCTAAAAATTAATGACCTACATCTTCCACAAATTTACCCAGAGCCGGGTTCCGGCCCCAGAGACTCTGAGTAAACGAGCTCTTGCCACATCAAGCCCCCTGCAGCCCAGCCTGCAGTTTGCCCAAATCCAAGCACAGACTCCACGCGCCACCTCGCACCCCACCCCCGGCCCGGCCCCCCACCATGCCTCCTGCCACGTGAGGAATGCTTCCGGAGCAGGCCAAACAAAAGAAGTCTCTAGGGCCTCCCTGGTGGCGCAGTGGTTGAGAGTCCGCCTGCCGATGCAGGGGACACGGGGTC